CCTACTCTGTGTTAGGTGTTAACAATAAGCGCTGGGTGAATGAACGTGACCAAAGCAGGTGGGATTCCTATCTTCGAGTTGGTTATGTTCTGGAAGTGCATATATTTGTTTTGTGTGGCTGGGCACAGTGCTCCAGGGAGAGAAGAGGGAAAAGACGGGGGCCAGGCACATGGGGCCATGGTAACGGTCTGGGTAACAGTCTACGTGCAAGGAGATTACAGTGATCAGATATTACAAATCGTTACATAGAAAATATCACAGCTATTCGGTTTTTAGAGCTTGTTTTTAAGGCATAAAACCCAAGCAGTAATAACACTTAACTCCATCCCCACCCTGGCTCAGTTATGGCTTGTTTATACACATTTCCTTGACAGGCAGCTTTGACACGACTCACTAAATCTCTGCCAAGTACGCAGGCAGTTTCCTTCACTTGCCCTTCTCCCGGGGCCAACCTCATCTTAAAATATTCTGCTCGTGATTCTAAATGCAACTTCATAAGCAAGCGTCTTCAACTTTCTAATAAAAACACCAGTGTCCAAACCTCCACAACTACTTCCGGGAACCTCCAAGTTCTGCTTACGCCTCCAGCCTAGAGAAGCCGGCACCTAGCAAACTGGGGTTGTCTCTAGCTCCTTCCCTTTGGCCTCTGATTTGTGATTAGGGCAAGGATTCTCCATTCTGGCTGCCCCTAAGAACCTCCTGGGTGAACTTAAAAAACGAAGATACCAACACCGCCTCAGACCAATTAAATCATATCCTTGGGAGAGTAATTGTGAGATTCTATAAGCTCATTATCTCTCTTACCCTCGTGATCCGTCCACTTGAACTGGCACCTACCGCGGGCCCTCATCACCTTTTCATCTGCTAATTAAGCAGTATTTTAATTGCTCTTTCCTTGTCTTAATAACAGCAACGGTAAGTGGGGATGGCACCCGCAGTGAGCTGACAGTTACTGAGGGCTTACTTCGTGTCAGGCGCAATTCTAAAATCATTACAACGCACTGGTTCGTTTGCACACGACTCTTGAGATCGAGCCCTCTTCTATTCCATTTTGTAGACGAGGAAACCAAAGCAATGAGAAATGAGGAAATGTGGCTAAAGCTGTACCGATAGGAAGAGGAGGAGCTGGGATTCACACCCACGGTGTTATACATTCTCTGGCACATAGATGGTCCCCCCCAGGTGTGTCAGGCTTTGCTCCCACACATACATGTATCTCAGAAGTTGGAATGAGACGCTCCAACCCGAAAATTGAGAAGGGGGGGGGTCTTCTCCCAAACTGTAGGATTTCAAGTTAATGTTAAGGTTTTTGCCCATAAATTTTCCTTCCTTGAGCTTTTGAGGCTCGTTTATGCCTTTTTAAAATTTTTATTTTTTTATTAAAAAAATTTTTTTTTTAACATTTATTTATTTTTGAGACAGAGAGAGACAGAGCATGAACAGGGGAGGGTCAGAGAGAGGGAGACACAGAATCTGAAACAGGCTCCAGGCTCTGAGCTGTCAGCACAGAGCCCGATGCGGGG